ATCTCTAGTGAATGTGTCAAGAGAGGATAAGTCAATTCCAGGTGCAGAGTCAATGCAGACAGGTTAAAACATGTTAAACATTGTGTGATTGCTATCATTGAGGTGTGAAGGGCTGTCACTGGTAGGGTTTTGCATGATGATGTGTTACATCAATCTAGTCTTACTGTAACACTGGATACAAATATTCCCAAGAATATTGTTTTGGCATATTCTCAGTATTGCAGAGATCCCTGGTGTTGTAAGGGATAATTCCCAACAGTTAGCTGCTGACTGTCTAAAGAGCAGAAAGTAAACCAGCCTGATTAATCTCAGTGACTGTTACTTACTCATCCATCACTGCTTTCCCTTTGAAGTAGCTACTCTCTTGCTAGTCAGTGACAGATAAACTCCAGAGAGATCAAGAAATGTGTATACTGCCCCTGTATTTAAGAGGACTTGAGACTTAATTTACATTGTGTCATCAATAATAATGTAGAGAGTATAAGAAACATTTGTATTTGGTGCTGTGGTAATGATATTGAATGTGGTTTGGTGAAAAATTACCAGGCTCAGTGGGAAAATCCAACCTTTTTGCAAGCAGCACACATGCTTTCCCTAAGTAACTGGCTGTCCTGTAGGAAAAAACTCTGGCTTCTCATCGTATCTCTCTCCTATGTGTGGGACTAAAGTAAACAGGTTTTTCTTGAGCTTATTGTCTTGATCTACAGTATGGAAAAAGGTAACCAAAAATGGTGAAACTCGTAATTCAAATAAATGTACTCATGACAGAAATTCATTTATAGAATCACTGAATGTCCTGAGTTGGAAGGGACCTACAAGGATCATCAAAGTCCCAACTTCTGGTCCTGCACAGGACACCCCAAGAACTGCACCATGTCCCTGACAGTGCTGTCCAAATGCTTGTTGAACTCTGTCAGGCTTGGTGACATGACCACTTCCCTGGTTAGCCTGTTCCAGTGCTCAACCACCCTCTGGGTTAAGAAGCTTTTCCCAATGTCCAATCTAAACCTCTCCTTATCCAGTTTCAGGCCATTCCCTTGGGTCCTGTCACTGCTCACCAAAGAGATCAGTGCCTGCCCTTCTACTTCCCCCCCTGCCTCAAGGAAGTTGTAACTGCAGTGAGGTTTCCCCTCAGTCTCCTCCAAGATGAACAGACCAAGTGACCTCTGTGCTGCTCATAGGTCGTTCTGTCCAGCTCCTTCACCATCTTCATTGCTCTCCTTCAGATGCTATCCAACAGCTTAATGTCTTTTTTATATTATGACACCCAAAATTATACCCAGGACTCAAGGTGAGGCCACACCAATGAAGAGTGAAGTGGGACAATCACCTCTTTTGACTGGCTCAAATTGCTGGGTAAACTTTGGAGACAATGATCATGCTCAGCCCTGCCTGACAGTAGTGGCAGCTCTGAACCTGTGGTCTGTGTTGGGGTTTCTTCTGCAGTTTCACAGCTTTGTTTGGGTGAGAGGCAGCACTAACAACAGGTGAAAATAACAATAATAGAGCAGTTTGTTGCTCTTATTAGCAGATAACCTGCAGGTGAATTTTGCTTTTAAATGGCAGTTAGTGAACCCAAATGTTTAAGCAATGTCAAACATGATTTATTCATAAAAAATGTGATTTAAATATTTTTGGTGATTACTTCTTCATGCTATGTGTGTATATAGGTGAGTCACCTTTTGCTGAATCACTGAGTGGTGTGCCTCCCAGCAGCAGTGTGTAGGGATTTCCCATTTCACAAGTGGGAATCTACCAGTAGTACCTAATGAGAAAGGCTGTCCTACCTCAAGCTAACCTTTGAAACTGGGGACACGTGTCACAGCGTGATCTTGTGATCAGAAAGGGACTGGCAGTGAAGTCTTAGGAAATCTGTATCCTGCTCTGCTTATAGTTCCTTGTATGAGTTAGAGTAATTAATCTATCTTCCTTGTGCTCCATTATATACTCATGCAACTTCTGGAAATACTAGATTAATAAAATACCCTTGACTTTTTAAATGAGAGATCACTACTGCTGTTTCTGTATTAATACCATTATGTTCAGTTAGTTTCCTCTGTGACTGAAACAAGTGTTAGTGTGTCTCACATCTTCCTTTCTTGAGAAGCAGCTAGGCATCGGGGTAGACTCACTCAGGAAACCCCCCATGTAAGTTCTGTGACTCCTTGTAGACCACCTCCATTAAGTGCCCAAGCCTAAAGTGAGAGAAAGGGTTCTTTAGTAAAGTTGTATCAGATAAGGGGGGTGTGCAGAACAAAGTTATTTTTATCTTATGAAAACAGAAATAATTTCTATATTCTGTATTTTACTTATTATGTAAGTTAGGTAATCTCTGTTAAGTAGAGATGGGGCAGTGGGTTGTTATGGATGCTAAATGTGGGAAAGCAGGCAGGGAGCACAGTGTCTATGGGAAACCAAGTCACATAACTTTCACAGACTGGCCTGAGAAGTGTGGCCTGGGAAATAAGTAGGAATCAAAACAATCCTTAGAGATGGAAGACAACCTTGCAGGTGTTGTTTGTCACCTTGTTTTCTTGCAAGTAAAGGTCAAGGGGTGTTGTTCCCAACTGACCAATGATGGTGATGTAATGACCGATGGGAGTTTTACCTTTTCGGACCTGTCTATAAAAGATCTGGAATAGTAAAACTTGCTCACTTGTGCAACCCAGAAGAGAGTCTATGTCATGTTTCGCCATTCCCAATATAGAGCAACAGGTTGTTATGTAAGCAGGAGTTTCAAAATTTTAAAATGCTGACTCTCTCTTTAATTTTACTACATTTTAAGCCTGGTTTGAGTTTTTCCATTGCTGTAGCAATTTATACCAACCTCTCAATTTTCTCCCAGAAGCACTTCACACTAGAAAACCTCATATGTTAATAATATGGACAAGAAAGTCCATGTGACTAACAGGTACAAAGTGCCACTAGTTATAACCTCCAGAAAGACCTGCAGGAGCTGGACCCAATACACTTAACTTATGAACAAGACACAACACTTATAAACTTGGGAATAGTTACTATTGACCAATCTGTATCTGGAACTGCTGGTTTTTAACTTCTTTTTTTTCATGTGATTTTTTTTTGCTAACCTTCTCTTAATGTAGGTAAAACATTAGGCAAAAAGAAAAAGCATTTTCATTTGGAATTTGTAAGGGTTTGCTAAAGTTATTAATGGTTATTATTTCTTCACTGTTGACTTCAGCACATGAAAATGTCTGCAGATGCAGTAGCTACATTCCTAACTTTTATTAGCTTTAGTGGACTCAGATTACCCAACTTAATTCTCCTTTGGTATTTGAATCCAGCTATTTGCAGGACTGCTTCAGTGCGTGAGAAGTTATTGCATTTGGTCTTCTCCCACTCACATTATGCTTTGTTTGTTTTAACGAAGGAAAAGTAGATTGTACACATGTAGCCATTACCCAGTGTGATCTCCTGGAAGCAGGAAGTCAGTTCCAATAGGTACTGTTAGGCGCTTGTGCTTTTCATTAGCACCAAGCTCCTATATCTGTATGAAAACAGAGCCTTTAGTCCCTCAGAATCAATACTGGCAACAGCAACTTATCTCAGATCCAGATTCATGGCATAGCTAATTTGAGCCATCTACAGGTCCTTTCCTGTGAAGGACAGTTCCACACTTCCTGTCCTCACGACCTCCAGCAATGTGTTCCCATCAGTCACTGAACCTTTGACTCAAGTCAGTCTGTTGGGTTGCTGCAAGCTCAACCCTACAAAAAAGTCTTTTGTTGGATCAGTGAGTTTGTGTGTAGTTGTGATACAGATCTGATGCAACAGAAGTAGTGAGATTGTGCAGCTTGAGAGAAGACTGAATGGGGCCACCCCTTCCTCCTGGTACTTGCAGGTAAATGAAACTAAATGCATTGTAAAAAGGCACACAAGAGTTGCATGAACAATTCTTTCTAGCCTCCGAGTCAAAAACAAATGATACCAAAAAATGAGAAGGATCACAAATAGGAGGAAAGGTGGGGAAAGAGCAAGAGAAGGAAAAGGGCAATTGAAGATATTAAAGAGAGAAAAAGTAACAAGGAAGAGGGAAGTAGCTAGAAAAGCAGGAAGGATTAAAGAATTACCAAGCGATTGTATGTTGGCAAATAGTGGCAGCAAATGCAGGTAAAAATTAGGAAATACCATTCCCTGGTGATTGATACATACTTGTCCTTGTCTTTCAAATATGATAGATGCATCAATCTCAAGAAACAATTCTTCTGTTTCTCTGTGTCAAACTGAAATGTCATTGTTTTGTGAGCAGTCCACAGTAATAACCTGGATGCTGAAAGCCAGAACCTTTGTCCTCCCCTGAGCTCAGTCTGGGTGAAGCAGGGAGGGAAAGTCCCAGGCACAAGTGCCTCTCCTAGAAGCACTTACTGCAGAACAGGCACAGCCCTAAGAGACGGCTGAAAAATCCTTCTGAAGTGAGTTTACCACCTCAGTATGTTGGTGCACAAGTGGATGGCTAGTCCATATGTGGTTTCCATAAAGCCTTATTCCCGAAGTCATGGATTTCCATGACCTGCCGCTCACCACCTCCCTATAGGGCCGCCCGGGCCGTGCACATCTCCAGCTCCAGCAGGTGGGGCAGGAGAGGGCTGTGCTCAGGGCTGCTGGTGCTCCGTGGTCAGAAGTGGGTATCACTTAAATCCCAGCATGATTCACTTCCCTCTGACTTGGAACTCCTGACATCTCCATACAGCTCTGCCCGAGGTCATTCATGTCATTTGAACTGCAAGAGCTGGAGTATTAAAAGCACTATATTTTCTGTGTGGTTGAGAGCAGCTTCCTTCAACGAATTGGCTTGTTTTTTCTTTTTTTCTTTGTGATTAGGGAATTAAATTAGTTATCTGCTTAATTTGCATTGCAGTTAAGAACTACAAAACAAGAGTAGTCTAGAAGTCCTTCTAGGTGAGACACACATGAAAGTATTCCCTGTCACTCAGTTTTTACAGCTAAGAAAATCTTTGGGTTTGCTTTGTTTTCTGCAGCTGTTTGATGCTGTCAACTGCCTGGCAAAAGAGAATGCCCGGTTGCTTGTGCTGGGCCGCAAACATATGCTGATGAACTCTTCAAATTGGAAAAGAGAAATTATGAAGGAGATGCAGAATAAGGCAGACTTCTTCTTTGCTGAAAATATGTAAGTTGAAGAAAATGGCTCAATATAATAAAGACCAACACCTGATTTATGTGCATTTTGCTCTAGTTTTTAGTACCATTACTAGTATCTCTGCCTGTGTGTGTGAAAAGAAACATATCTTTTGCTATACTTTCTTCAAAAGTACATAGAAAGTTGCATTATGAAGACTTCCATCACTTAGAATCATATTGACAGCTGTATGGTTTATTAGGTTTTATGACTGATAAAACCAGTGCCAAGAGCACAGTGCCCTGAACTTAAGAGAATTTCTGATAGCATCAGTGTGCAGTTGTGGTCTGCTCCTGTGTGGAGGTACACCGTTGAGTTTTAGCAGTTTTGTTCCACACAGCACAGTATTGTTAAACTTTGTGGCAGGAGATTATATTGTTCCATTATCAGATTGTGATAAGAGGAAAAGAAGTGCTCTAAGTAGCATGCAATTAATTTTTATTGAACTCTAGCTTTTGGTACCCTGTGGTAAGCAATTTTTTATTTTACAGGGAACTAGAGTAGTGGTGGGAATTTTCGGTGTTGCTGATGAATAAATCTTGATCAACATTTGAATCACTTCCTGCAATTATTTACTGCCTTGTGAATTATGTCTGTCTTTTCCATTTGTTTTTTGAAGCTCTGAAGATGATGCCTTCTTGTTATATGCCACTCTCCGATCAGGCAAGCATTGCAGGTTTGTTACTAGAGACTTCCTGCGGGATCACAAGGCTTGTCTCTCCGACAGTCTGACACGTCATCTGTTCCGTAAGTGGCAGCGTGGCCACCAGATAGTGTTCTCTTCTGCAGAAGGAAGGAGTATAAATTTTTTGGTAAGTTTTCCCACTGCAGTCAGAAAACACACAGAGCAGATTCATTGAAGATACATTATTTCAAACTCTGGAAGCCAAAATATCTTGTCTTAAGAAATGAACTTGTACCAATGTGCTTAAAACTCCCATGTTAACTGAAAATTCATTGGGTTCACAAAGCATGCCACAAACAAGAAAACTGTAAGAGACCCAAGAAATGCTACCTAGATGTTTAAAATGTAAATAAAAGTTCATGTATATAAATCTTTTCAGTGCTGGCAACTCTGTAACCATTACTGGCCTCAGTAAAACCTGAGTGTCAATGTTTCAATTTATTTTAAACTTTGAAATCCCTTATTCTCCTCCGCAGCACTATTATAAAATACTTAATGCTTCTAATTTTACAATAGAATTTCTTTTATCTTTATTTTAAAGAAGCAGAAAAATACAGGTATTTCAGTATTCGCTGTAATAGTAACCTAACATAGGTGTAAAGTTTCATGAGGGAAAGCCCTAAACAGTCAGGTTCAGAGTTAGTATTCAGCTGAAGAAATTGCAGTAATGTCATGTTATGTCAGAATACTGCTATTATTGTCTATGAGATATGTATCCTTGTGGACAGTACATAAAGGGGAATGCAGCTGTTTGAAGATTTTTCTAGGGAAAAATTAATCATGTGACATTCTATATGCAGTTTTTTTGTTACCTGGTCTGTCTGTATTATTGCCTGCTTAGAGGAATTCTGCACCTATGCAGATTAATTTTCTTCCTTCTCTGGTAAAAATTGTAAAATAATATTTTTGATTACAAACAGAGATACCAGTTTGTAAGAATGACAGCCTTTCATTCTTTGTCACCATATATACATTTTTTCTTACGGAGCCAAATAATGAATAGTGGGTTACTTGAGTAACACGGCTTTAGCTTGTTTCTTTCTTTTGTACAAAGGGACTGCTAATTTTCACATGTTAATTCCCATACAAGTGATTTGGGTGATTGCTGTTCCCAGTCATAGCTGTTTTAGGTTATTCTGGAAGCTACCACAGGAAAGCAGACTTCCAAGACTATACATATAGCGTGATAGTATGTCCTGAGAACCATAATTACCAGCCAGTAGTGTTTCCTTTGTATTTGCCTTATATATGTTGAATTAGTATGCCTGCAACATAATAGACCTGAAAATTTGTTTATTCTATTTGTTCAACCACATGCTTCTGAAAGTGCTAGTGATAAACCCTTTTCTTACATCTCCTGTTCTCCTTGGGACAGCAAGTCAGTTCTGTAAAGGCAGAGACTGGGAGAAAAAATACAAGATGTCACTAATGTCATTAAATCTTATGTTCAAGACTATAAACTTCACATCCTGAGTAATTCCCATATGATTTCATTTAACTGAACCAAACAACAATAATTTTGCCATTTCTAGTAATTGAGTGCATTATGCTGAAATCATTATTATCTGGTGCTGATTGAAGACAGCATTTATAATGACTCCTAGACCACAAAATACTAGAAGATAGTTTCATTTTTTCTCCAGTACTAAAATTTAGGATTTGTTTTGTATAAGAAAACGAGTTGTTAAGAGATAAAACTGTGGACAATTCTAAGGTAAGCATTGGAAGTCGTAACTACCTGTAATTGATATTTTAGTAATATGTTGTATAAAGTCTAAAAAAAAATATTTTTCCTCTGTTTTTTCCCAACAGCCTGCTTTACATTATGACTGTGTGGTACAGACTACAGGTGATACATGGCATATTCCCTATAAAGACGTTTATGAGGAAAAATATTCATATCAAGTACCAAGAAAATGGCTCTGCATTCAACAGAAATTATGAAGAATGTAACTGGACAAGCTGAAGCTGCCTTTCTTGTAATCACTGTTGCTGGCTAGGAGAGCTCAGCAGGACAATTATGGGATTAATGTGTGAGGTGTGTAACTGAAGAAAACTGAGTGACTGCTTTTGCCAAAATCATTCCTGCATACATCTCTTAACATCACTGGTGGTCCAGTGAAGGTGAATTAGGTCCATTATTTCCATTTTTACTGGCAGTTTCCGTAATTTGAATTAAACCTTGATTTTTCCTGTTGGAATTATTGTTTAGGCATTTTTATCTTTTATTTTTTCTCAAGCTTTTCATCTACACTGAAATGTATAAACTCTGTACATTGAAGAAATTAAGCAAGACTTGCAAAGTACCTTCAGAGTTTGTGGTGCTGACCTTGTGCAAGAGTGTTGCACAATGTCTGCCTCTATTCAGTGGAGCTAAGGGGGACAGATGGTACATTTACCATTTGCCAGACACACACAGAACTAAGACTTCCTCACTGTAATTAGAATTTGTTTGATCTCATAGAATGCAAGAGATTGGTTAGAAGAACACATAGCAATCATTTGTTTGGAAGAATAAGGAAATAACCAGTGGAATGTTTTGTGGCTCTTTCACACTCCTAAATTTGCCCTTTCTGACAGTATTTGGCATCACTACAATAGTTTGCTGATGGAAGTGCATGGACTTTTTAAATGAAAAGGATAGACAGAAATTCTTAAAGACAATAATAGGACAAAATTGATTCTTGTACATTTCTATAAAATCTATCTGGAGTTATAAAGCAAAAAAAAACCTGTATTAATTACAGAAGAAGTGTTTTAAGTTATTTGTGTGTGTGTGATAAATGTGTTTGTTTATTGCACTTAAAACTTTAATGCCAACATTTCTCCCCCCAAAACATAGAAATGCCACATAAATCTCAGATGAATTATCCTATACTTGTCACATTTGTCTCGTACAAAAATCCTGTTTGAAACTGAGATGAAACATGAAAATCTTTTTGTATAGAACTTGCAGTTCTGAGTTCTTGCAGGGCCCTATAGCAAACTCCCTCAGGACTCAGCATTCAAGTATGTTCCTGCTATTTTTTCTCCAGGACAGTCCTGATACATGTTCTAGTTCTTGTATCAGTTTGTAAACCATCAGGTGTGATTTGCATACAGTCATGTCCTTCAGGTACTGTGCAGAAAGTGTAGAGAGAGCAAGTGTTGCCTCTTAAGGCAACATAAAATCTTGGCTTTAAATTCATCATATTGTTAGTAGTGTTCATCACAGACCCTTTTCCTGACTCAACATGACAACTCCTATGGAGGCCAGCAGGGAAAGCAGAGAGATTGGATCTACTTCTCTCATTCCTCAATACTTCTAATTTGTCAGAAGATTGCTTTTATAATTGTTTAAGTCAGAGAACTGCGACATCTCCTTGAAGGTGGAAATACGCTTTTAAATTAGGTGTCTGCTCCTGTGCAGGACTGCTTAGTTAGCAGCTGCTGCTCTTTGCAAGGCTCCCACACCCTCTGTATGAAGTTCTGCATGGCATGAGCTGGTGTGAATCAGTGCTGTTACAGACTTCCTTTGGTACTAGCTCTGATGGTCATGCAGCCCAAAACAATGCAGAGCTGGCTCTTAAAAACTTGGTTTTGGCTAGGTCAGAACTGGCATTGTTGCAGTCATCTAGCACCATTGCACAAGTACTGGTACCTGTGTTGGGAGCGGGGTTCAAATGTCAGGCTGCAGAAGGTGGGTCCCTGCAGCACCTCTACCTTAGGTCAGCCCTAGCTGAGCAGAAACTGCACCTTCAGGGTACCCGTTTCGTTGCCAGACATGTTCATCTGTTGAAGTTTGTACTTTACCTCACCCTGGTCATTAACAGGCATGCATAATATCCACATATAACTTCCTTTTTGCTCAGGACATATCCCTAATCAATCAATTTGGTTTCACCTCAAAAACTGTTCTTAGGTAATGCCTTCTAAATAATACTGCTTCCTAAATACACTAATATACACTAAATATACTAGTATATTTAGGGAATGATGGAACAGAATATGGAATTTACAGCTGGAAGGTATTACAACATTGGTGTCAGATTTGTGACTTCTTTTTTCTATGTTTGCTGTTAATACACTTCTCTGCAGATCCTTACAGGGAATTAATGGCCTCTGTGGAACCAAAGGGGAAACATTAGTGGTGAACCTACAGACTTTTTCTGGTGTATACTACCTGCTACATAGATGCATATGATATCCAGAGGCTCAGTTCTGAGGTTAATTTGAATTTTATTTAAGACATCTTTGAAATAACATTTCTTTTGTGTTGCTCTAAGTCTTCAATACTGAAATACAGTATTTCAAAATAACAATGAATATGAGGATTTGCTTCCAGGTATCTAAAAGGAATTCTGAGGGTTTCACTGGCAATAAAAATAAATGTGAGAGCTAAACCAAAGCAAATAACAAATAGCTGATCTATTTGACATCTACTGTTGTTTATATAGTGGTACAGTAAAAATTCAAGGTGATTTATTACACAGATGTGTTTCATGCTGAATGCCAGAAAGGCAACTTTTCCAAACAGTACAGCAATTGGTACCCCCAAAGAGACACTGACTGCCATTTGCTATTACATTGAGTGTGAATGGGAATCAGAAGGAATGTGCCCTTAGCTTAGCTTGCTGTGTGCCATGGAAATGGAGAGCTGAGAAAGATGAACTGACAGCTTGCACTCCAGCATTTATCACCTCCAAGGTCTCCCACTCACTGCTTACTATGTTAAAAAGATGATTGTGAGAACAGCTTTCCTCAGGATCCTGCAACACAGAATTGGACTCCATACTCATCCTCATCAGAAGGGATTTAACATTAAGCCAAAAGTATGATTGCTCTTCTGAAACAATGCTGTACTCTGGAAGTGATATCCTGAAAATATCCATGGTATTGAGCAACTATTACTCTATCTAATTCAAATACTGAATCTTTGATTTAAAACTTAAAGATTTTCTTGGTTACTATTTGGCAATCAGGCTGTACACTTGATATTTACTTAGATTTTCTCATCCCCTTTTCCTTGGGAGAAAAAAACCATTCTAGAGAATGAAAGAGCTCTGTAGGATGGAAGAACTGTAAAGGCACAGATCATCATCTTGGAGAAACTGGTTTTAAGAGACATAGAGGTCATAAGAATCACGAGTGTTCTGGAAGGAGTGCCTAGGGATCCACAGTGCAGTGGCAGTCGGTACAAAAGCATCAAATGGTACTGGCAGATAGAAGGTTCAGATGAAAGGTGAGGTTTCAGACAAAACCACACAACATGCCGTTATGCTGACCAACTCTTTGCCATGGCATGTTGTGGATTCAAGTTCACCCGGGTTCAACGGGAGACTAGCAAGTTTCATGAAAGAGAACCAGCAAGAGTTAGTGAATAACCAGACATTATCCCTGCCTTGGGAAGTCCCTCCAGGTGCTTGGAGACTGGGAGACGATTCAGGGAGTGTATCATGAAAGGCTCTCTCTAGTCTTAATTCCTTGGATATCCTCCTTCTGGCCACATTTGGAGACAGAGCATTGGATAAGACTGGCTCTGCTCTGACCCAGCAGACACAGTCGAACGTGTTTGTGTTCTCTGTGTTCCAGTGCTTGCATCACCCCTTTAAACATTTCATGTCTGCCCACAAAGTCTTTCAGTAATGAAAGGGACAAACTCTGAGTCTTATAATGAATACATAGCAGGGCATTGTTCTCCCATAGTGTTAATAAGCAAGGAGAAGTATTTTGACAAATTTGAGAATGCAGACTTTTAATGCGTGGCATACACAAAGTCCGCCTTTATTCTGCTATTTCAACAAGAAATAACCTCACCTAGTAATTTTAAAACAGAGGTGTGGATACCAGAACTCAGCTTTTCCAACTCTTCTAATGACCAACTTTTAAAAAATGCCTTCCCACAAACAACAGGGGAATTCCAATATGTTGAAAGGCAAAAAGGACATATATTCACGAGTTTAAACTTGTGACGCCGCTAAAAACTCTTTTAAATATCACATTATAACGCAGCTGCGGCGACAATTACCTATGAATACTTTAAACATGTTTTTTTAAGTACTTGCTTTAAAATTATTCCTATTGAAGAGGACACGTGGAAATACTTAGTTTGGAATTTTAGGAAGGGTTTTGTTTTCCCCGCTGACTGGTGATACTTTTATCCAGTATTGATGAATGCCGCGATGATGCTTTTATTCCGTTTCCTGCTGCTTCCGTGCGCATTCCCTCAGGCACGTCCGGCGGGGCTTTCAGGTTTCCGCGAAGGAGAAGGGCTCGCTGAGCCCCACGGCGGTGGCCGCTGCCAGAACTGCGGCGGTGCCGTGGTGTGCCTGTGCCGTGGTGTGCCTGTGCCGGTGCCGGTGCCGTGTGGCCCGGCCATGC